AGGGAAAGAGTGAGAGGGATGACAAGGGCTGTCAGCTTGGAAAAGGAACACATGGGTGAGGAGGGAGAAGGAACCAGCTGGGGTTTCTTGAGGTTAAGAACAACCTCACAAGTTGAGCTCAGGTCAACGGGAATGCTGGAGAGCAACGTGGCAACACCAGTCCTCTTTGTCCACAACCAGCCGTGCTGCAAAACTCCTAGTGTGAAGTCAAGCAGCTCTATCTGAAAAGATGTTGGGTTTTCTCCTGGCCCCTTCGTATCAGACGCTTTATCAAAAGCTCACTGCTTTACTTTTTAGAAGCCTCCTTGCTCCACCTAAATTTATTCACGTCCAGAACTATTTGTTCCATGGCCAACGCTATTGTTCAGCCTAACCAGCTTTCTTTCCGACAGCCTCCCCGCTCCTTTTCCACCACCTGTATGCACAATGTGTTATCCCGAAATAGAGACGCATCTCTGGCTCTCAGCCAAGTGGAGAGAAATCAACATTCAGGGTGACAAAGCAGTCGTTACCTGCACACTCATTTTGTAATCAATCTACAGCACCTCAAAAGCTCTCGTCGTGCTCCCACAGGGAAGCGAATTTTGCTGCAAGCAAATTTTCTTGTAGTGTGTTTTCTCTGTCCCGTAACTGCCGCTGAACATGCAGAGAGATGTTGGCAATGTTTGGAGATAAACAGCTTCGCTGTCTCCAGTTATTTTGATTAAAAAGGATGACAGAATTAAATGGCCTTTGAAGTCAGCAGGGTAGTTAAAAAGTAAGAAGCCTCAAAATGTTTTCTGTAGATTTTGGTGTGATTATTTCCGTCGTGCTCTGCCTGTCGGGGCTCTGGAGCAGGACCCATCCCTGCTGCACAGCTCTTGCTGGGAGGGCAGCTCGGTCCCCGCCACCGGCTGCTGTCTGCCACCACGGGTGACACTGCCATCAAAGCCACGCACTGAAATCCTCCCAAGGAAGGAGGAGAAAATCCCTCTTTCACCACAAACACGTTTTGCCGAGACAAACGCTGCTGTGGTCTCTGCCTAGCAGATGCCTGGAAATGGAGCGTCTGATTAGGCAACAGTTTTCTTCACTTCTGTATCTCTGCGGAGCACGCAGACCCCCCGCTCCCGCCGCCACCCCGGACTTACCGTGTCCACGCTGCTTTTTCTGCACCCATGAACAACGTGTTACCTGCTTAAAAGTCTCCCTTCCAAAGCTACTTCTTCATGGCAAGGTAGATGTACAAGGTCAACCCACCCAAAGTCAGTGCAAAGCGCCGTGGCCGGGATGCTGCGCAGTCACCCGGAGGCAGAGGCGGCCAAGAGTGAACACCACAGTGCTCAGACACATCTTGAGCATGCTGCAGCCTTAGATAAACCTCATTTATTGATCTTCCCTGTCAAGGAAACCCTACCCCTGCTGAGTTACAGCATGTGCAATTCAAGGAGATGGGTTTCTTACCGAGGAAGCTGCAAGATGATTTAAAGCACAGCCCAGTGGAAATAAAACAGCTTCAATCCTAACCGGGAAGCAGTTCCCTAATTAAAATATCTAATACAATGTAAAGCTGCCCTTCAGCTAGACTAGTAATGACACTCTTATATCACCGCGTGGGGATGCTGTGTCCAGCCCTGACACGCTTGCCCCTGTGTGCAGGTCACCGACGGCACTGCAGTTACCGCTGTGATTTGCAGGACAATAGCAGTGATGGGCAACGAGCAAGATGGGGAGCCCCGCTCTGCCAGGCACCCTACCAAAACTGGACAGAAGGCCACTCCTGCCCCAAAGAATGGGATCAGACAGACAAAAGCTGGGTGAAACGAAGCAGTCAAATCTCTGTTGCCCAGGCAGAGGGAGGGAGGGGCTCTCACAGAAGAAAAACACGGATAATTCCATGTATTTTGCACCTGAGGGTTGGCAGAGGCTGTTGGTTTAGGCTCAGTGCCAGGCAAACAAGGTCTTTCTGCCTCTCTGCCCACACTGAGCAGCCTTGCTCGGGTTTTGCAACCATTCTGGATGGAGCTGGGCTGCAGGAGCCCGCTCAGGTGTCTCTGGGCTCACAGCAGTCAATCTGCCAAGCAGATTATCCCCCACCGCTAACGGGGAGCCAGCTCAGTTGTTATCCTATTTTGACAGACATGGGGGACCGAGATACTAACGATAAAAGGACTCCAGCAAGTTTGCCTGGGAAGACCCAGATATCCTTGACCACGTCTTTAACAATGAGACCATCTTTTTGGGCCCCTTTCACTTACTCTGCTACGGGAGGATAGCCTAGCTGGTTCCCGTAACTCGCAGTCTGGCTGTGTTTGAGTTGCAAACCTTGAAGAAGGGTGGACCTGCGGTGGCAGAGAACCGAGCTCCACTTCAGTTCTGGCCAAAAAAATCAAGACCCATTTCACTGCCTTGGTATTCCGACTTATCAGATAAAAGACAACTGCGTTTTACAATAACTCTAATAAAAACAGCAAGGTCTTAAACATATCGCTGAGTCAAACTGTGCTGCAGAACACGGCAGCAATCTCATAAGGAGCTCCAAGTAATGGTCCTGTCCAGTGCAACCAAACTGGTTCCTGTTTGCACAAAAGCTCACCTCTGAGCCCAGCCTCACGTACAGACTCCAAGCCAGCAGTACTTCGGCTAAAACAGTCTCTTTTGTGTCTTCCCTCGAGGTCATGTTTTGTTTAGACTGACCACAACTGAGTCGAGTAGCTGTGGATTCAACCTGGTGCAGGTCATCACATGACCTCCTCTGTGCTTCAGCTTCTGTGTTGGGTATTATTGGAGATAAAACACATGATTATTATCTACATCCCCTGATGAGCACATGGGTTGAAAGACCAGCAAGCCACAAGAGGACTCAAATGATGCAGCAGAGCCCTTGGACAAGTCATTGCAGAGGAACGTCCTGCTTTCTGCGCCGGGATGCTCCCTTTGGGCTCTGCTGGCTGTGGCTGGCCACCAGCTCCATGGAGCATGGTCCCACAAACACACACACTGGAGGTACAGGGATGATCTCTGCCCCCAG